GTCACACAGTCAGTCACACAGTCAGTCACACAGTCACACAGGCCCTTTGTACTTGTTGATATGAGATGTACAGGAAATTGACCTGAACCCCACAGATCTTTCTTGATGCCCCTATATGGTGATATACGGCACCGAGCGCTTCCATCTTCATTACATTATTATGTCAACTATTTCCAGTTAGGATGCACCGATACTGGTTTCTTGGTATCGACTACAAGTAGCAATATTTATACTTCAGTACTCGCCGATACCGAGCACCAAAACCGGCACTGAGCATGGAGCCGGCTTCCCGGGCAATCAGGAAGCTGTCAATCAGCGTGTCATTACCCATTGCTAAGCTTTTGGACTGCCCGGGAAGCCGGCTCCACGCTGTTTGGCCGGCTCAATGATGATTGGCTGGCTCGATGCTGATTGGCTGGGAAGCAAGCTTCCCAGCCAATCAGCATCGAGCCAGCTTTCTGGCCAATCAGGAAGCGGGAGGCGGGTCATTACCTGCTGCCCGGCTTCCTGATTGCCTGGGAAGCCGGCTGCATGCTGTTTGGCCAGCTTGATGCTGATTAGCTGGGAAGCCGGCTTTTAGCCAATCAGCATGGAGCCAACTTCCTGACCAATCAGGAAGCCGGGCCACGCGTCATTACTTGTGGCCAGGCTTCCTGATTGGCCGGGAAGCCGGCTCCATGTCCCCTCGTAGCACTGCCCATCAGAGGAAACCTCCCTCTGACTGGAGTATTAGAGGTAATTGGAGGTAAGGATTGGAGCATTTGGGCGAGTATTCAGTATCGGTATCGGTGGATCCCTAATTTCCAGTCATCTGAACAATATCACAAATTTGTAGTAATCTCCCAAATAAAGTGTCTGTAAAGTTGAAGGTTGTTCTATTAGTTTTGGGTGGAGTAGGGATTGGCAATGGATAAAAATCCCGTCAGGGTTTCCTTCGCCTTGAAAAAGTTCAGGAATTGGATACACTTTAATATCCGTTTTTTATACTTTGTTTCTCTGTGCGGATTGCTCGATCCTTTACAGGTGAAAAACGTATGACTCTTATTAACCGACGCGTTTCACAAAATAAAACCTTCCTTGACAGACAGGCGCCCCCGTTGTGTCCCGCGGGGGAGGGGGGGGGCGATATTTACTATAATTTGCTCCTCTCCAGAATCCACACCCGTTGTATTAGACGCGGATTGAAGGATGTCAGCCGCTGCCCTTTGTACGCCGCTCGGCCTTTAAAGGTTAATTCTGGGCGATTCCGCTACCTTCCCATCGCAGGCAGTAAATGACTCGTCTGACCTTCGCGGCACGCGGTACTACATGGCCAACGCTCCCCTGCACAGGCGACGACCCCCCCATCACTCTCCCGGCCTCCACCTTTGTGGCCTTTGGGCTCGGCTGACCTTTCCCGGCCACAGACACTCTCATTAGGACAACCGATATCTTAACATTTGTCAGGAAACTCCATAACAGAACCAGAAATGTCCGGCGTAGGACGAGCGTGATCCGCCATCATCTCTCGTATTACTGCTTTGTAAATGTCAGGCGTTCGGCTGGGTGGTGGGCGGCGGTGGGGGGTTGTAGGTCTCTATATTGTATTTAATTGGTAGTATAATCCAGGTCAAGTCTACATCTATGGGGGTTATTCACAAAGCTGAAGCCGAGTGAATAACCCACCCAAAGTGAAGTGAGCCGAATAACATTCGGCTATTCACTCCGGCTCAGTACGGCTGATTTCAGCAGTACATCGGCTGACGTCAGCCGTACATCGATTGCCTTCGGCTGCACTTTGGTCCGCCAAGCCAAAATGCAGAAGGACTTCAACTCAGCCAATCCAACATCTTGATCGGCTGAGCCGAAGCTCTGGCAGCTCACTCGCTGTCGTTCGCCCCTATTCACATAGGGGCCGAACGGCAGTGAGCATATAGCCAAATGCCGCCGAGTGGCATGCGGCTCGGCTATTCTGCCCGTTACCTCCGTGGTACCGAGCAGAAAAGAAAATTAAAGGAGAACTATGGGGTCAGGGCTTTTCCCCATAGTTCTCCTTAGGGTAACGGGAGGACACAAACTAGCATCCTCCCGTCACCCTAAGCTCAGCGGTATACTGAGACGCCGGAGCGGATCCCGACATCGATGTCGAGATCCGCCCAGCTGCGTGAGTGACAGCTGGCTCTGCCTATCTAGAGGCAGAGCCAGCTGTACCCTCCCCCTCCCCCGTCCGTTCCGCCAGTCAGCGCTGGCGGAGCGGGGGGAATCCAGCCCCTCCCCCTGTCACGGCAGAGAGCCGTGAAAGGATCAAGAGGTGAGTGAACGCCGGTATATGTTCCCTCACCTCCCGATCTACTGAGCCGACCTGTGACAGTCTCATTGTCACAGGTCGGCTAGAACTATGAGGTGAGTGAAAAGCTCTCACCTCATACTTCTCCTTTAATGAAAAGAGTGTAAAGAAAAAAGGTTTAAAAAATGTGTAAATAATGTAAATAAAGTCAAATTAAAAAATAAATAAAGTTATTTTAAAATCTCTCTCTCTCCTCACCACTCGGCCATCCTGAAGGGACTGCGTTATGCCGTTCCCATTTTTACCTTGTCTGGGCATACAATGTTAAACCGTAACTCATCTTACTCTGTGTTGTGTCCTTGTTTGTAAAGTTTGATATAGATAAGGAGGCCGGAGAGCGGCAGATCTATCACCGGTACTGCATGGAGCGCGCGGCCGTCCACTGCGCTCACGTCTTCAGCACAGTGTCGCAGATCACCGGCATCGAGGCCGAGCACATGCTGAAGAGGAAAACCGGTAAGATGATCCATAGGCAAAGGTCAGTCATTCTGGTCTGGAGTGGTCACTATGCTGCCATATTACCCAAACTGTCTCTTTATATTGGGTCACCACACACCAGCTGAAAGTTGAAATCTGCCCCAACAATGGGTGTGCCAGCTTTATAAGCTAATGTCACGTGTATTCCAAAGACAGGAGGGGGAGGGGTGGTGGCTACGAGGTAGGAAATAAGAAAAATGAATTGGCAAATGAAACGATTTCAATATCTCCTCGTTTTCAAATAACATCCAACTTACGGTAGTTCAATGCCGTGTTCATACATAGTTCATACATAGTTCATACATAGTGCCGTATTCATACATAGTGCCGTGTTCATACATAGTTCATACATAGTGCCGTGTTTATACATAGTGCCGTGTTCATACATAGTGCCGTGTTCATACATAGTGCCGTGTTCATGCATAGTACATACATAGTTCATACATAGTTCATACATAGTTCATACATAGTTTATACATAGTGCCGTGTTTATACATAGTGCCGTGTTCATACATAGTGCCGTGTTCATACATAGTACATACATAGAGCCGTGTTCATACATAGTACATACATAGAGCCGTGTTCATACATAGTACATACATAGAGCCGTATTCATACATAGTTCATACATAGTGCCATGTTTATACATAGTGCCGTGTTCATACATAGTGCCGTGTTTATACATAGAGCCGTGTTCATACATAGAACATACATAGAGCCGTATTCATACATAGTACATACATAGAGCCGTATTCATACATAGTTCATACATAGTGGCATGTTCATACATAGTGGCATGTTCATACATAGTGCCGTGTTCATACATAGTGCCGTGTTCATACATAGTGCCATGTTTATACATAGTGCCGTGTTCATACATAGTGCCGTGTTTATACATAGAGCCGTGTTCATACATAGAACATACATAGAGCCGTATTCATACATAGTACATACATAGAGCCGTATTCATACATAGTTCATACATAGTGGCATGTTCATACATAGTGGCATGTTCATACATAGTGCCGTGTTCATACATAGTGCCATGTTCATACATAGTGCCGTGTTCATACATAGTGCCATGTTTATACATAGTGCCGTGTTCATATGTAGTGCCGTGTTCATATGTAGTGCCGTGTTCATACATAGTGCCATGTTCATACATAGTTCATACATAGTAGTGCCCTCTTCATACATAATGCCATGTACATACAATGTACCCTCTTCATACATAGTGATGAGCTGTTACACCTGCATGCTTCCTCTACAGATGTCATTACTCCGAATGGGTTAAACATAAAGAAGTTCTCCGCCATGCATGAGTTCCAGAACCTGCACGCCATGTACAAGTTCCGCATCCAGGAGTTCGTCCGCGGCCACTTCTATGGGTATTTATCACAAGGTTAAAGCGTCACTCCACCCAAACAAGCCGCTTGAATCTTCTGCCGCTCCTCCCACCTCTGTGAGCCTGCTGCAGCCATGACAAGGGGGGAGCCTCACACTCACTTCCATGTCTGTAAGTACAGGATGCAGCATGATAAGTGAGACTTCATCACCTGGCTGTCATGGGACAGAGCTGGGAACGCTGGCACTAGAGGCTGGGAGGATGCAGCAACTGTCTCAGCGTATATATGATTGTCATTCTGCAGCAACAGGAAGATGTAGAGATGTCAGAGTGACATTCCGGTGATCATTAGTCAGGTGCACATTGTCATGGCTGGAAGTGATAATAAAGTCAGAAGGTTTTTCAGCAATTTAAATGAAATCTCTGACAATGGAATCAAAGTGGAAGTTTCCGGCAGAATCAGCTGGTCAGAGCGCTGAGAATAAAACAAAACTCGAGGTGTAAAACTGCGTAATGTGCTGGGGGGGTATTCAGAAAAAGGAAGCGCTGCAACATGTTATCACAACGCACGTTATATGTGTTATGAGCTCTGTGGTGTGAATATAATGGTGTACTATGTAATAATGAGAGGGGTGTGGGGAGAGGTGTGATATAATGGAGGGGTGTGTATATATATGGGAGGGGTGTATATATAATGAGAGGGGTGTGTATATATGGGAGGGGTGTATATATAATGAGAGGGGTGTATATATAATGGGAGGGGTGTATATATAATGGTAGGGGTGTGATATAATGGAGGGGTGTGTATATATGGGAGGGGTGTGATATAATGGAGGGGTGTGTATATATATGGGAGGGGTGTGATATATGAGAGGGGTGTGATATAATGGGAGAGCTGTGATATATGGGAGGGGTGTGATATATATAATGGGAGGGGTGTGTATATATATTGGGAGGGGTGTATATATAATGGGAGGGGTGTGTATATATAATGGAAGGGGTGTGTATATATAATGGGAGGGGTGTATATATAATGGGAGGGGTGTGTATATAATGGGAGGGGTGTGTATATATAATGGGAGGGGTGTGTATACATAATGGGAGGGGTGTGTATATGTAATGGAGGGGTGTGTATATATAATGGGAGGGGTGTGTGTATATAATGGGAGGGGTGTATATATAATGGGAGGGGTGTATATATATTGGGAGGGGTGTATATATAATGGGAGGGGTGTATATATAATGGGAGGGGTGTATATATAATGGGAGGGGTGTATATATAGTGGGAGGGGTGTATATATAGTGGGAGGGGTGTATATATAATGGGAGGGGTGTATATATAATGGGCGGGGTGTATATATAATGGGAGGGGTGTGTGTATATAATGGGCGGGGTGTATATATAGTGGGAGGGGTGTATATATAATGGGAGGAGTGTATATATACTGGGAGGGGTGTATATATAATGGGAGGGGTGTGTGTATATAATGGGCGGGGTGTATATATAGTGGGAGGGGTGTATATATAATGGGAGGAGTGTATATATACTGGGAGGGGTGTATATATAATGGGAGGGGTGTGTGTATATAATGGGCGGGGTGTATATATAGTGGGAGGGGTGTATATATAATGGGAGGAGTGTGATAATAATGAGACACGTGTCCCTCTCCCCCGCTGCAGACATCTGGACTTCAGTCTGGAGAAGACGCTCTTCTTCTTCATCGCCGGGCGATACGAATTCTCCAACAAAGGGGCCGACGTCTTCCTGGAGGCGCTTTCCCGGCTCAACTTCCTGCTGCGGGTAAGTCTGACCCTCGTCATGGCTCCGAAGGTGGGGATCTGCCAAGTCGGGAAGCAGGGATGGGGGTCAGGGGCAGGACTGGGCCCCTGCATGAAACATATCTGATCTAAAGGGCCACACACCATCCAGAGCCCGGTTCACACTTGGGGCCCACGTCATCACACATGGGGGGGAATTTACCAGAACTGGAGCAGCTGTGCACGGCAACCAATCAGCTTCTCTCTTCAGTATGTTCAGTAAAGAGTTGAAAATGAAAGAGAGAAGCTGATTGGTTGCCGTGCACAGCTGCTCCAGATTCTGTCTGCTCCAGTTCTGGTAAATTCCCCCCGGTGTGTGTGTATGGGCAGATTGCCACGTTGGTGTCGGTTCCTTCATTCCAATGGGATCCCCGACGGGCTGCAGTCAGAGAGATCCTCGTATATCAGCATGTCTGGAAAGACGCCCATCCCCCCCACACACACGGGGAGCCATTAACAAGTTAGCGCGTCACATGTTCTTCCCGTGTTGTCTAATCCTGTGCCAATCTGCCACACACAGGAAGTGTCTCTGATCGGGAACGTGTGGAAGGAACTCGGAAAACTCAAAATCAGACGTTTGCCCTTCTTGTTACTGGGCGCTCATATTGACATTGGCCACTGATCGCCCAATCTCTACCTAACAATCTCATCGCCCAATCTCTACCTAACAATCTCATCGCCCAATCTCTACCTAACAATCTCATCGCCCAATCTCTACCTAACAATCTCATCGCCCAATCTCTACCTTACAATCTCATCGCCCAATCTCTGCCTTACAATCTCATCGTCCAATCTCTACCTAACAATCTCATCGCCCAATCTCTACTTTACAATCTCATCGCCCAATCTCTGCCTTACAATCTCATCGCCCAATCTCTACCTAACAATCTCATCGCCCAATCTCTACCTAACAATCTCATCGCCCAATCTCTACCTAACAATCTCATCGTCCAATCTCCGCCTTACAATCTCATCGCCCAATCTCCGCCTTACAATCTCATCGTCCAATCTCTGCCTTACAATCTCATCGCCCAATCTCTGCCTTACAATCTCATTGCCCAATCTCTGCCTTACCATCTCATCGTCCAATCTCTGCCTTACAATCTCATCGCCCAATCTCCACCTTACAATCTGATTGTCCAATCTCTACCATAGAACCCGACTGTCCAATCTCTACCATACAATCCGACTGTCCAATCTCTACCTTACAATCCGATCGTCCAATCTCAACCTTACAATCCGATCGTCCAATCTCAATCATACAATCCGATCGTCCAATCTCTTCCATACAATCCGATTGTCCAATCTCTACCTTACAATCTGATTGTCCAATCTCTACCATACAATCTGACTGTCCAATCTCAACCATACAATCCGATTGTCCAATCTCCACCTTACAATCTGATTGTCCAATCTCTACCATACAATCCGACTGTCCAATCTCAACCATACAATCCGATTGTCCAATCTCTACCTTACAATCCGATTGTCCAATCTCTACCTTACAATCCGACTGTCCAATCTCTACCTTACAATCCGATTGTCCAATCTCTACCATACAATCCAACTGTCCAATCTCTACCTTACAATCCGATTGTCCAATCTCTACCTTACAATCCGATTGTCCAATCTCTACCATACAATCCAACTGTCCAATCTCTACCTTACAATCTGATTGTCCAATCTCTACCATACAATCCGATTGTCTAATCTCTACCATACAATCCGATTGTCCAATCTCCACCTTACAATCTGATTGTCCAATCTCTACCATAGAACCCGATTGTCCAATCTCAACCATACAATACGATTGTCCAATCTCTACCTTACAATCCGACTGTCCAATCTCTACCATACAATCTGATTGTCCAATCTCCACCTTACAATCTGATTGTCCAATCTCTACCATACAATCCGACTGTCCAATCTCAACCATACAATCCGATTGTCTAATCTCTACCTAAAGGTGCCCATACGATAATCGTATGCGATCGTGTTTTCGTACGATAATCGAGCAGTGTGAACGGAGACGTGCGACCGTTTCTACTGTACGGTCGCACGTCTTCTGTCGAACCAGCATGTTCGAAAACCAGCCGGGAATCGTACGATTCTCGGCTGGTTAGAACGGTGCTCGGAAGATAAATGCTGAACGGGCCGGTGTGCGCACGCGCACACTGCCCGTTCAGCATTGCGGTCATCGGAAGCCCGCCCCTCAGGAGGGCGGGCTTGCGATGATCAAGAGTGCAATCTGCCTGTCCAAGATAGGCAGATCGTACGTTTTTTTAATCCCTTTACAACCATCGCAAGACTAAAGTCTTGCGATGGTTGTAGAGTGTATGGCCACCTTTACAATCTGACTGTCCAATCTCTACCATACAATCCAACTGTCTAATCTCTACTATACAATCTGATTGTCCAATCTCTACCATACAATCCGATTGTCTAATCTCTACCATACAATCCGATCGTACAATCTCTACCATACAATCCGATTGTCCAATCTCTACCTTACCATATGTTTGCCCAATCTCTACCTTGCAAGCTGATTGTCCAATCTGATTTTTGTCTGCGCATGTGCAGTTTTCATGTTATGATTTATTTTTGTACGAAAACGCCTCAAATCCATCGATTTTCCATCGAGAAATTTAGAGATTGTCATCAGACTGATATAGATTGTATAAGGTAAAGATTGCAAGGTACAGATTGGTCAATCAGATTGTATAACCTGTACCGGCGTCCTTAACCAAGATGGCTGCCGTCAGTGAAGTACATCGCGGCGCATGTGTGATGATGTCACGCCACAGACCTGGTGCCCTCAATGGGGACGATTAGGGAGGAGCCCCATTGTTGTCATGCAGCCGCGGGGCTGATTGGGTGGTAGTGCCCATGGATGGCACGTCCTTGCTCTGGGTCAGTGAAGCCAGAGGATGACCATATCAGCCAGGCAGATTGTATCCTCAGCACGGCCTGCAGATTCCTCTCGGTATCGGGGTGACTCATTGCCAGCAGCGGGGCCGGCGCAGAGCCGCGTGGAATGGAAAAGATTGTGTCCGCCATGACGGCGATACTTAACGATCCTGCATTCCGCCGGGGGACCAGCTCCTGATATATATATAGAGGTTGCCGCGGTGATAAGCTGAGGGGAGAATCATAATGATAATCAGTAAGCCGGACAGAGCGGTCCCTCACCGAGGACACGCAGCGCCCCTCCGGGCCACGTGACGCATACCGCGCCGCGTCCAGAGAACAAATCGCCTCCATGTTCTGTGCATCACCGCCATGTAACAATGTATCAATGGAGGACTTTACAAGTAACGATATAAAGTCAAAGAAAGGTCAAAGGAAGCCGCCATTCGACGCACATCCGCCACCCTGGAACGGCCATATGGCGGCCAATCTCTGAATTAGCTGCGCACATTGTGCGGACCGTTAGACGTCGGCCAATGAGGCTAAAACCTCCATTTTCAGCGCATCAAATTTGCATTGAAAGTATGAAACATCAGACCCTGGATCAATCTTTTCCTGTAAATATTGAGCTTTGCCCCGCCCCCTCCTGAATCTCCAATCCCCCTGGCTTTACTGGTCACATGTGAAGGTCATCTCTGCTCATGTATAATTCATCGTATGCTCAGTTTGCGTCGCGAGTTCACTTTAAAGGCGATGTCCTTTTATTTACATTTTTCCAAAAGGAAGATTCAAAGAGTGTCAGAGCTCAGAGCTGGTGGGTGGAGCTAGATCTCAGAGCTGGTAAGAGAAGCCAGAGCTCAGAGCTGGTGGGAGGAGCTAGATATCAGAGCTGGTGGGAGGAGCCAGAGCACAGAGCTGGTAAGAGAAGACAGAGCTGGTGGGAGGAGCTAGATGTCAGAGCTGGTGGGTAGAGCTAGATCGCAGAGCTGGTGGGAGGAGCCAGAGCTCAGAGCTGGTGAGAGGAGCCAGATATGATGGGAGGAGTCAGATCTCAGAGCTGGTAATAGAAGTCAGAGCTCAGAGCTGGTGGGTGGAGCTAGATCTCAGAGCTGGTAAGAGAAGCCAGAGCTCAGAGCTGGTGGGAGGAGCTAGATATCAGAGCTGGTGGGAGGAGCCAGAGCACAGAGCTGGTAAGAGAAGACAGAGCTGGTGGGAGGAGCTAGAGCTCAGAGCTGGTAAGAGAAGCCAGAGCTGGTGGGAGGAGCTAGAGATCAGAGCTGGTGGGAGGAGCCAGAGCACAGAGCTGGTAAGAGAAGACAGAGCTCAGAGCTGGTAGGAGGAGCTAGATCTCAGAGATGGTGGGAGGAGCCAGATCTCAGAACTGGTGGGAGGAGCCAGAACTCAGAGCTGATAAGAGAAGCCAGAGCTCAGAGCTGGTAGGAGGAGCCAAAGCTCCGAGCTGGTGGGAGGAGTCGGGAACACAGCAGAAAAGAGATGTCCCTGCCAGGACCAATGATGAATGGCTCCATCTGTGTCCCCCCAATGTCAGGACTGGGACTGGCCAGTTGTTTTACAATCTCTTCCCGTGTGAATGACTTTCCTGTTGTTGTCTTTCAGGTCCATCGGAGCGATATCACCGTTGTGGTGTTCTTTATAATGCCGACAAAGACAAATAATTTTAATGTGGAAACACTGAAGGGTCAGGCGGTGAGGAAGCAGCTCTGGTGAGAAATCTCCCCTCGAGTCTTGTGTCAGCCTACGGAGGCAGGATGGGGGGGGGGGGCAGCGTACGATATACTGTGTGTATATATATGTGATGTATATTCATTGTTTGTAAATGTAAAACATATCATGTTATTAATGATACAATTCTACAGCAACACAGAACTATCTGCATCAATCTCTGCACCAGAGGAGCTTACACTCTAATAATGACCCCCCCCCCCGGGGTCACACACTATCAATGCAACACTGAGCCAGTCACATCAGTCTCTCTGCACCAGAGGAGCTTACACTCTAATAATGACCCCCCCCCCCGGGGTCACACACTATCAATGCAACACTGAGCCAGTCACATCAGTCTCTCTGCACCAGAGGAGCTTACACTCTAATAATGACCCCCCCCCCCGGGGTCACACACTATCAATGCAACACTGAGCCAGTCACATCAGTCTCTCTGCACCAGAGGAGCTTACACTCTAATAATGACCCTCCCCCCCGGGGTCACACACTATCATTGCAACACTGAGCCAGTCACATCAGTCTCTGCACCAGAGGAGCTTACACTCTAATAATGACCCCCCCCCCGGGGTCACACACTATCAATGCAACACTGAGCCAGTCACATCAGTCTCTGCACCAGAGGAGCTTACACTCTAATAATGACCCTCGCATTCACACACTATTATTATCCTTATCCTTGTGTGTTTCCAGGGACACGGCTCACGCAGTGAAGGAGAAGTTTGGGAAGAAGCTGTACGCAGCATTGCTGAAGTACGTATCACTTGATCAGTCTCGCCCCAATAATAGCTCTGAAATGTAGATGTAAGCCCGAAATGGATGACTTTTATTTTGCACTATGCACTGTGTGTCATTAGCAACTGCCATGCCCCCCACCAACCAGCAAGTTTCATCGCAGTGCTGCTGATCTCCTGCACTACATGCACTCCAGCGATGGCTGCTTGGCATTTCCCAGGGCGGGTTTCCTGATGGTGACAACACTGAATCATGTCTGTTTTCTCCAACTGAAACCCATGTAACAGGGTGACAAGGCAGAGGAACAATTGGAAGACAGAGCGTTGTCTCCCTATTACAGGAAGTGACCGCCATGGCAGGATCACCAGGGACTATTTTTTAAAATGTATTTAAAAAATTCAAAATAACTTCCTAAATAACATGACAATAGAAAAGATTATATGAGATTTTACTGATTGGGTTCATATCTGATCTAATCACTAACAATAAACCTGAAACCAAGCACAGAAT